CTCAAGAAACTATCTTACTTTTAAGTTGATCTTACTCTGCTATTAAAATTTAAAATTGAAATTCCAGAAAAGAAATAAAGTCGGCAAAAACAGACCAAAGGTAATTAAAAGGGCAAAGCCAATTTGTCTCTAATGCCCCTCGTAAGAATTTATTGGACTAGCTAATTAATCGAAACCTACCTAAAAAGGGGGCTTCTTTATCCCTATGAATTTTCTAAAAAGGAAGATTAAGTAAGCTAAGATCTATCAGGTCATTACATCACTAATTTAGGGAAGATTTTAGCACCAAACTAAAGGTGACAATAACGTATTAACGTGTATGATTAGTTTCTAAATAGAACTAGAAATCTATGACCTAATATTTTTATTCCTAATAATCACTTCCATCTTTGTAATTATCAAAAGAGCTTGGTTTCATTGGTTTGTGACTTACTTGAGGCATTTGGAGACAGTTTGGAACATAATTGCTGATATATATGAGTCCAAAAATTATTCTAAGTTTGAAAAACGTTACTATTCATAGAACTGACTTTTCAAAATGTGCATTTCCTTAAAAAGAAAAATGGTGATAATTGTTCTTTATGTATTTGTATATGATTAAAATTGGGCCCACCCGATTTTTTTTATTTGATCGAGACCGGGAGTTTGCATCGAAGGATGGCCTCATAACGAAATAGGCCATATCACGAGGATAGGTACCGAGTTCAGAACCGAGGTACCTGTCAAGATCGAGGTTAGTAGCAATCAAAGCCAAACAAGAAAGACATCGAGCAAGATCAAAGATAGTACAATAAGAAAAAGGCGAGATATCCGTGACTGGTCGAGGATCACAGTATAAATCTCGGAACGGATCAAATCAGAAACGATTAATTAGCTAATCATGGGATTTCTTTCTATAATTAGAGTTATACCATAAGTAGAACTCCTCTACTATATAAAGGGGAGTATTAACCATTTGTAAGGGATGTTTTGACAGACAAAAAAAAGCAATACAATTTTCTTTATTGTTCTCACCATTGTTATTCAGTTTGCTATACTTTCATAGTTCTTGCATCAATCAGTTCGAGGGTGTCCAAACTCGAGAGCTGAGTTTTATTCTAACACTAGTTTGCTTTACTTTATTGTTAATTTCTATTGCTCATCTTCACATTTATCAATTGGTATTAGGTAAAATCACGTGTCCTTAGAACCATATTATAAGTTTAATTGTTATCCAATTTTAAGGGTAAACAGTTTGGCGCCCACCGTGGGGCTAAGGATAATAGTGATTGCTTAATACTAATTTCAATAACATACACTGCTTTACACTTGTTCTTGTAAGAATCTTTGTTTTCAGGACAAACATATCAAACTCACAAGCAGCACCTACACATGGTAACAATAACCTTGGATTTCACGGGGAAAACGACAACATAACCGCCCCAGGAATCGAGGTGCCTCAGGCTGACCTCGAGGGAGCACCAATTGCAAATCACATCGATGTCAGTTCACATGTCGCCCTAAATGCAAATTTGGGCATTGAGCCCGAAGGTAGTATACACAGGGAAGTTCGATCAGGTGGTCGAGGTACGCAGGGCGGAGAAGATGGTGAAGTTAGCCTCCAATTGATATTCAAAATATTACAGGCTCAACATGTCGCTATAGCACAACTACAAAATCAACACCGAACACCGAGTAGGATCGAACCAGAAGTCGTTCAAAGGGCCGAGCCTGTGCCGAAAAGGTCGAATGCCAACGAATCGGAGACTAACCCCGCCATTATGAAAATGTTCGAGGAGCTCACTAAACGGATTGAATCGGAAGAAAAGAAAATCGAGGCAAATGACAAAAAAGTAGAGATATACAACTCCCAGATTGACCAAATACCGGGGGCGCCGCCGATTCTAAAAGGTATGGATCCGAAGAAATTTGTACAGAAGCCTTTCCCTCCAAGTGCGGAACCGAAACTCATTCCGAAGAAATTCTAATGCCAGAAATTCCTAAGTACAACGGGACCACTGACCCTAATGAGCATGTCACTTATTATACATGCGCAATAAAGGGAAATGACTTAAAAGATGATGAGATTGAATCTGTTCTACTGAATAAATTTGGAGAAACCTTGTCGAAAGGAGCAATGATATGGTACCACAATTTGCCGCCTAATTCCATCGATTCCTTCGCCATGCTTGCAGACTCCTTCGTAAAGGCACATGCCGGAGCAATAAAGGTCGCGACTAGAAAATCGGACCTTTTCAAGGTGGAAAAAAAAAGACAACGAAATGTTGAGGGAATTCGTATCTCGGTTTCAGATGGAACGTATGGAACTTCCACCGGTCACAGACGATTGGGCTGTTACGGCCTTTACTCAAGGTTTGAATGAATGAAGTTCGGTGGCATCACGACAGCTAAAGCAGAATTTAATTGAATATCCTATGGTAACATGGGCAGATGTACAAAATCGGTACCAGTCGAAGATCAGGGTCGAGGATGATCAATTGGGGACCCCTTCCGATTCCGCTTATCCAAACATGCCCGTCGGCAGAACTCAAAGGGATATCGACAGAGAACCCTGATCAAGTAGAGATCGGTATCTACCATACAACGCAGATCGTAGAAACAGCGGCCCAGGATGGAATCCCATCCAAAATGATTGAAGGAATGATTGAAGATAGAGCTCTCGAGGGCTCATGAGAAAAAATGGCTTCGATAAACATGTTTATCCCACAGAAGCACCACGATTGTCAGAATACAACTTCAGCATCAACGCATCAGGTATTGAGTCAGCCATTGGAGGAATCAAAGATACTAGATGGCCTAGACCCCTACAAACTGATCCATCCCAATGGAACCCTAATCAAACATGCAAATAACATGGTACACATGGTCATAAAACCGAAGACTGCAGACAACTAAGGGAGGAGGTGGCCCGTCTATTCAACGAGGGTCACCTTCGAGAATTCTTGAGCGACCGAGTTAAAAACCATTTCAGAGACAGAGACGCAAACAGGAAGAACGAGCGGGAAGAACCATAGCACGTGATTCACATAATCGTTGGTGGGGTTGATATTCCACAAGGGCCCGTGTTCAAACGCACTAAAGTATCAATCACCAGAGAAAAACGAACTTGGGACTATGCGTCAGAAGGCGCTTTATCATTCAATGATGAGGAAGCAAAAGGGATTTCACAACCCCACAATGACGCTTTAGTAATCTCTATCCTTATGAATAAAATTTAGGTTAAACGTGTTTTAATTAATGCAGAAAGTTTGGCCAATATTATTCGATCGAGGGTCGTGGAGCAGCTCGGCCTACAAGATCAAATCGTACCTACATGTCGGATTCTCAATGGATTTAACATGGCAAGCGAAACAACTAAAGGTGAAATCATCCTACCAGTAAATGTAGCAGAATTATTTAAGAAACAAAGTTCCATGTGATCGAAGGCGATATGAAATACAACGCACTGCTTGGAAGACCCTAGATTCACAATATGAGGGCGGTCCTATCAACCCTTCACCAAATGCTAAAGTTCTCAACACCGGATGGAGTAAAAACGGTGTATGGGGAACATCATGCTGCTAAAGAGATGTTCGCGGTCGACGAAGTGATATCGGTATAGGCACTTTTGTCAACAAAAGGATCGGAATCCAAAGGAAAATAGGGAACTAAATAGCAACCACATCTACCCGCCTCTACTCAATTGAAGAAGCATGGAATGGACGAGGACGATGATTATTAGATCCCTCGATCCTTCATAATCCCCGAGGATTCCAACGCCACCAAATCGACGGTCGAGGAGCTGGAGCAAGTCATACTGATCGAGCATCTACTCGATCGAAATGTATACCTGGGTATGGGGTTAACCCCCGAGCTCAGGGAAAAACTCATTAAATTTCTTATCAATAATATGGATTGTTTTCTTGGTCCCACTTATATATGATAGGGATCCCGCCAGAAATCACTACACATCGACTGAGCATGGACCCGAAGTTTCGCCCGGTAAAACAAAAGAGAAAACCTTAGTCCGAGGTAAAACATGCATTCATCAAGGACGAGGTAACCAAACTTCTCAAAATAGGGTCCATTCGGAAGGCAAAATATCCCGAAAGGTTAGCAAACGTAGTCGTAGTCCCTAAAAGGAAAATAAACTTAGGATGTGCGTAGACTATAAAGATTTAAACAAAGCATGTCCTAAAGACTCTTTTCCTCTGCTGAATATCGATCGCATGATCGATACCATGGCCGGCCACGAGATCCTTAGTTTCCTCGATGCCTACTCCGGGTACAATCAAATACAAATGAACCTGGAGGATCAGGAAAAGACTCAGTTCATCACTAAGTACGGCACCTATTGTTATAATGTAATGTCATTTGGACTAAAAAATGTTGGTGCCACGTATCAACGCTTAGTAAATCGAATGTTTGAAAAATAAATAGGTAAGTCAATGGAAGTTTATATTGACGATATGCTAGTTAAGTCCCTGCGAGCAGAGGACCATTTGACACATTTGCAGGAGACCTTAGATATTCTAAGGAAATACAACATGAAACTCAACCCGGAGAAATATGCATTCGGGGTCGGCTCAGGCAAGTTCCTCAGCTTTATGGTATCAAATCGGAGTATCAAAATCAACCCCGATAAGATCAAGAAAATCGAAGACATCACAGTCGTGGATAATGTTAAGGCCGTACAAAGATTAACAGGGCGCATAGCCGCCCTAGGCCGATTCATCTCGAGGTCTTCAGATAGAAGTCACAGGTTCTTCTCACTACTCAAAAAGAACAACAATTTTGCATCGACCCCGGAATGCTAACAAGCATTGGAAGAACTAAAGCGGTACCTCTCGAGCCCTCCACTACTTCATACTCCGAAAGCGGACGAGCAACTATATTTGTACTTAGCAGTCTCGAAAATTGGGGTAAGTGAGGTCCTAGTTCGAGAAGAGCAAGGTATGCAATTTCCTGTTTATTATGTTAGTCGAACTATAGGTGAGGTTGAGACCCGGTACCCACACTTAGAAAAATTAGCGCTTTCCCTAATAAGCGCCTCTAGGAAATTAAAACCATATTTTCATTGTCACCCGATCTGCGTGGTGACTACTTATCCTCTTTGCAATATTTTGCATAAGCCCGAACTTTCGTTTTGATTGGCCAAATGGGGCGTCGAGATCAGTGGGTACGATATCGAGTATCGACCCCTAACGGCCATCAAGTCTCAAATCTTAGCGGACTTCGTGGCCGACTTTACGCCAACCCTCATACCCGAGGTCGAAAAGGAACTATTAATAAAGTCGGGTACATCATCGGGGGTGTGGACCCTCTTCATAGACGGTGCTTCAAATGTGAAGGGTTCCGGTTTAGGCATCATTTTGAATCCACCCACGGGTAATACAATTAGACAAGCTGTCAAAACTGCCAAGTTAACTAATAATGAGGCCAAGTATGAGGCCATGATTGCAGGTCTCGAGCTAGCTAAAGGTTTGGGAACAGAAGTCATCGAGGTAAAATGTGACTCCTTGCTTGTGGTAAACCAAGTCAACAGAACATTCGAGGTTCGAGAAGATCGAATGCAGAGATACTTGGACAAACTATAGGTGACTCTACATCGGTTTAAAGAATGGACTCTACAGCATGTGCCTCGAGAACAAAACAGCGAGGTCGATGCCCTCGCAAATTTGGGGTCGTCAGTCGAAGACGACGAGATCAGCTCGGGACTGTCGTATAACTTTCAAGTTCA